TGGGATGAGAAGTAGATCTTACCCATTTTCAAATCCAGAAGAGAATGCAAATACAAAATATATTGGGTTTGCCATGTAGTCAGAGGTATTGAGCAATAGATGAAATTTTTTACTGCAGTCAGATATTCAGTATTCATATCTCATTGTCACTTTGATATAATTCCCTTCTGATTCAAGAGTTTTAAGTCTTTCATTCAGACAACACAGGATAATAACAGAGCCTATTCAGTGCATAAGTTTATTTTTAATGTAGTCAAGGAATGAAAAACACATAATCTAGCATTTAACTCACTGGAAAAAATGTTTTGAAACAAAAAATTAGTTATTAACAGTACAGAATAATTCATGTTCAAATAAACTGCAAATTATCACTTAACTTCCTCAGCTGAATGGTGGTTATTAAAGAGACTTTTCTCTGCAGTATTTTGTTAATATAGATATGGGGGAATAACCCATATACAGCAGAGTAAATGTTTTCTAAATTATATGCCCTATGGATCATATGATTATATACTATTGATAGGGTAATATCATTGGCATAAACTTTTAAACTTCATAATTTCTTCTATTTTCATGCTACAGTAGAAAAAATAAGCCTAGACTTGTGGAGTACTATGATAGTTATTTACATAATAAAATAATTGCTTAGGAAAGTCTGTTGAAAACTTCTAATCACTCCTAGTATTTTGGAAGTTCTAGACTTTAGCTGTTAAAATAAAGGTCATTCCTTTGTGGGTATATGAAAAAAAATTGGTAAATTTGTTCTGTAATGAAGACTAAATGTGTCTCAGCTTTCAGAATATGGATAAAAATTTTTATGGAAAAAGCTTTGACTTCTGTGACAGGGAAATTATACAGACAGTTCATTCCTTTGATTGCTCTTAAACAAGTAGTAGTGCTCACTAGATTACTTAAGTAGGAAACATAAAGGAACTATCTTTCAGTCTTGTTCCAGTCCCACTGCCTATTTCTGTCTTTGATCTCAATGCCAAAGCATTTCGGAAGGCTGAAATGTTGATGAGGTTAAACAGATTTTGGCAGTGCTGGAGACTACACCAACTGGTTGCTTTCATTTTGATACAGAAATTACTGTGTTAAAACCTGTGGCCTGCACTATACAGAAAGTGCTAATCCATTATCATCCCAATATTTTTCCTATTCCCACTGGAATAAAATGAGTAAATAACAGAGGGTTAATTTATGTGTGTGTGTTTTCTAATCGTAGGTCTGGTGCCCAATGTCACCTGAATTTTACAGAGAATATGTAGCTATCAAAACAAAGAAAAGGATACTGCTGTACACCATGAACCCAAATAAATTCAGAGCCTGCCAGTTCCTGATTAAGTTTCATGAGCGACGGAATGATAAAATCATCGTGTTTGCTGACAATGTGTTTGCACTGAAGGAATATGCAGTCAGACTTGGGAAGTAAGTGTTCACAACCAGTGATGGCACTGTTGTTTTCCTCCTTCTATGAAAATTTCCTTGCAATCTCATAGCTTTCAATAGTCTTTGTTATTTCTTGTAATGCTTTAATTCCAATCCTCCTGTATAAAAAGGAGCTCAGGAGGGTATTTTTGGATGGATCTTACTGGCACTGCAACATTACTTCTGTGTAGAACAGTTTGAAAAGAATCTCTGTTTAGCGCTTGTTTCAGAGAAGTTTACATCCCATATTTCTGTTAAGGACGGTATTTCTCCGTCTATTATTATCTTTGTTGTTATTATCATCATCTTCATCATGATCCAGTTGAAAAGGGAGGGGCTTCTAAAAATATCACTAGAACTGTTTTCTCTAATGAATGGTAGCTTCCCCTGTCTCTGAGACATAGGTTTTCAAGTATGCACACTCTGGATCTTTGAAGATCTTTTGGGACCCAGGGCCTTCCTCTTGAGGTTGTTGAAAGGTCTCAACCCTGTCTAAAAAACCTAAGACAAGTTTTCTGGAGATGTGTGCTGTACCAGTGCACTGCCTAGAACTGTTGTAATTGTTTAATAAACAAAAGGAGTATATTTCTCCTGAGAGCTCCTGGATACCTTAAATGCCTGTAACATGGGTGCAGTTATGGAAGGTTGTACAAATAGAGTTTAATGAGGGGTCAACATCAGTGTGTTTGTAGGGTTTGGGTATGAATGATCAGGGAGAGTTTGCCAGGATCAGGCACAGAGATTATTGGGGAAATAAGCATAGAAGTTGGCCTCATCTGTTCTTTGACAAACCCAAAGAATGTCTTGCTTGCTGGAAGCTGTGGGGCATTTGGAAGGTGTATGATTTAATGTCTAGGAATTTCAGCAGTACTCCTTAGCAAAACACAAGTCTTACACTTTCCAAATTCCATTTTCCAACTTCCAAAATTCATGATCAGTTCTGAGTGTATTTTAAGAGCCGTGTGGTGCTGGTGTGCTGTGACATCAAAGAGCAAGCCGAGCTGATGGTGCTGGATGAATTCCAACACCCGTGGTCTCTTTCATAATTTTTTTAATCTGTCTGGACAGAGATTAGCTGTAATGATGCCTCTGGAATGTCCCTAGCAGTGTTCAGTGCACCATAGACAAAGCCTTTAGCAAAGGGCATGCTGGGAGGGATGATGCTACATAGCACAGCAGTTTTAATTGGGGTAGATGCAACAGAAGCGTGGTAGGAAAACCAGTTAAAGAAATAGTAGGTGCTCCCTTTTGGTGTTCTTGAGTGAATTCTCTGTTTCTGTCATCATTCATGGAGCTCCAGGTTATCTGGCTGTCAGTGTTACCAAAAAAGGAGGCTTGCAGTGCTGGATGAAGGTGAGGGAGTCTTTGTTTTAACCAGAGATATTTGTGTCATCATTTGCTGTGAGCAGCTAAAAGAAAGGGAACTGTTGTTTTGGATAGGGCAGGTATTACATGTGTGTGAGGAGAGCAGCTCAGCACATAGGGGTGAGTGTGTGCAGAGGGCGGGAGCACAGTTCCCACTGCACTTCTCATGGAAGCATGCAGGGTGGGTGGGCTCCTGGATGGACAGAGAGGTAGCCACGGTCTGGCTGTTACTGCTGACTCCTCCCTTAACTCCCTTTCCTTCGGTACTGGGGAACCATCAGGGAAAAACCATGCACATGACAGGAATTATTTTGACTGTAAGTTTTGGGGCCGTAGATTTCAAATTTGCTTAGCCAGCTTTTCCTCTGTCATGAGTCTGTCATCCAGTATAGAAGAGCTCATGTGCTGGCTGCTTTTTACTGGTGTTAGAACTATGTTTAAATCACTGTTTCTGAAGGACTGTGCCTCTGTGGTTTTGTCAGTTAATGGGAGAGGGATCTATCTTTGCAAATCCCTCAAATGTCTTTTTGCAGTGAGGAAAATGAGTCATTAAAAAAAAAAATCCATCTAGCATTGAATGTTTCTAGGTTCAGGAAAGTACTTAGATCTGTGTCAATGAATCACTGTCAAGTAGAATCTGGGCATTTTAAAATGGAGGATTGATAGCCAGGAGCTTGGGGTTTTTCTGTTCTTAATATAAAACGTCTTTGAATCCCTTCTTGGTGACCTTAAGAAAAGAAAGGCTCACAAATGCTTTAGTTTCAGTTTAAATCTACCATTTAAGTTTTGGGGATTAAAACCATTACAATCTAAATAATAAATGAAATTTAAAAGGAGACTTAAAATACTAGTGAATGCTACTAATTGAGTAGTAATGGTATTTTTTCAGAGTTAACTCATTTACCACCTTCAATTTTTAGCTGTATTTTTCTAAATACCTGGTTAAGTACACTAAATAGAAAAATTAGATTAGAAGTGACTAGGATTTTTTGCTAAAAAAACCCAAACTAGAATAAAGTTTGTAGTAAAGACAGTAAGAGGAGCCAATGCACAGGAATTAGTTGATAAGAATAGAAAACCTTAGTACTATGCACTGCATGTTTATGTTCAACTGCCATTCATGTATGTGCAATATTAAATGTTAAATGAAAAATTTTAACTTGGTTCCTTGTGTTAGAAATAACCTATGGAAATGTGAACAAAATAGAAACTGTAGAACCTGATTCCTGTTGTTTGGAAATGCTTGTTAACCAGCACTTGGAAAAGTAGTGCAACAGATGACAAAGCAGTGCTGTCCTGCATGCCTTTTTTTTTTGTGTGTGTGTGTGGGCTTTGCTGTTTCAAGCTTTTTAGTTTTTTCAGCTCTGTTCTGAAAACAGCCAGACCCTGGGAAATTCAGACTAGTCCAAGTTACTCACAAAGTCTGTGGGCAACTGAGAGTTTGTGTGAACCTTCAGGATTGAGATACTGACTGTTCCATGTGATTCATTGTCAAATGTTAGAAACCTTAGGTGAAATGCCCCTGTGAGCTGCTCATGGAATGTTTGGGACCTTGTTCTCAGGCCCAGAAGGTATTAGAAGGGGCAAGAGGTTAGCTTTAAAAGCAACAATAATTTTCCCAGAACAACATCCAGCCCCAGTTTATGACACTCACTGTATCCTTGGTAGAGAAGCCTGGATTTTCAAGTGTTTAAATAGGAAGCAAAGGTTGCAGCTGTCACTGTGCTAACTCAGTACATTTGAGGAAAAAAATCTCTTTATTTTAACAGCTGCCTTCAGTCTTTCACATAGGCTTAGCAAATGTATTAGATCTGTTTATATACAGCTTCATTGGTGCTCATAATTGCAAAACATTTGTGACAGTCAGAATTTCTGGCTGACTGGGTTCCTGCAGAGGGTTCTACAAACCACTGGGCAGCTGCCATGAAGAGCCAAAGAAGTTAAAAGTAAACTGAAAGCTGTACCAAAATGTTTTGGTTTTGTATCTGTTCAGATGTGTACTGTTCTCCCTGCCATGGTACCTCATACAAAATGAGTGAGAAATCTTGAATTTGTTTCATTTGCGTGTTTTGTTCTTTTCAGACCCTATATATATGGCCCTACTGCACAGGGGGAAAGAATGCAAATTCTACAAAACTTCAAGCACAATCCAAAAATCAACACTATTTTCATTTCCAAGGTAAGTGAGGACATGCACTGCATCCTTGTACCTGTTGTCAGAGTCAACTTTATTGAAGTTACACATGCATGGTGTGCATTTGACATCTTCATATTGCAGCTCACAAAGAAAGGTGTGCTTTGTATTTATTGTTTGTTAGTGATACGTGGAATTAAGATCCTGCTCAGAGGCTGTTGCTCTGTTGTAGGTGGGTGACACGTCCTTCGATCTGCCAGAAGCCAATGTTCTCATCCAGATTTCATCCCATGGTGGGTCGCGAAGGCAGGAGGCTCAAAGGCTGGGACGAGTGCTGAGAGCCAAAAAAGGTAAAGGAGATGGTGGTTGGGCTCTGGGCCTTGGATCATAGTATCCTAGAGTAGCAGAGACACTGGATGTTCTTGGTGTTTCTTTATATCCTCCTTGGATTACGTTTTAGTCAAAGAGAGTATGCCTACATACCAGTGAATGAATATATGAAGCATCTTCTGGGTCAGTAAAGCTTAGTGATGGGAGAACTTCCAAAGGAAAAAGGAAAGCTGAAAGAAAATTAAGTTAAAAAAAAATAAATGCTAAGCAGCCCTGGTACATCCTGGACTTCAGATAGCCCTATGAATTCTTAGCTAAGTATTTTTGTCTTACTTATTTTAATACAAAAACATTGCAAACTTTGGTTTACATGGATAAAACTTTCCCTGTGTCTCTTTATTAAGCTTTTTTGACATGCATTACTTTTGCCTGCTTCTTTACATAATAGACTTAAAAATAATTTTATCTTTCACTTTGCCTAGCAGAATAAAGAAGCAGGTTCTTCTCAGAGCACCTGTATGATTGTGTTAATCTGCATTTCCTTTTCCTTTTTTTCTTTTTCACCTATTCTCAATTATTAAGAACAAGAGTAGGAGTTCCTATGCTGTGTCAATCAGTTTATGCAAGGTCTGGGTGCAGCTAAACTTTGCAAATAGTTTTTGTGGAGACAACTTATTTAAACACCTATTTTTAGCATTTATTCCTTTTTTGTTCTTTGTTACTAATCACTGAATGATTTTGTGTCCTAGGCATGGTTGCAGAGGAATACAATGCCTTTTTTTATTCTCTTGTATCCCAAGACACTCAGGAAATGGCATACTCAACAAAACGGCAACGGTTCCTTGTAGATCAGGGTTACAGCTTCAAGGTAACTTGGCCCTGCCATTTATTATACTTGGAGCCTAATTTTCATATTCATTCATGTTAGTATTAGATCAAATATTTAAGAATTCTGGTTGTGGAATGCATTAATGGAGGTTTTTCTCGCAAGCGAGAACTGTTCCAGTGTTGTTTTTTCATCTGTGGGGACAGATACAAATAGCTGACATCCATTTGCCCAGAGCTTTTCTGTTTTCTTTTCTTTTCTCTTCCTCCAAAGGTTTGTATTTTTCATTTCCAGCTATATGTATGTATATGTACACCACTGAGTAAGATTTTATATGTATCTGTGCTGTCTGTAGTGTTAAGCTGTTTAGACCATTAATAAAAGTCAAAGACAGTTCCAACAGGGTATGGAATCAGAAATCCTTGTCTTGGTTTTGAATAGCTAACAATGAGGAGGAAGAGCCCTCACGTTGTACTGTGCTCTATTTCTTAGGTAATAACAAAGCTGGCAGGCATGGAGGAAGAAGAACTTTCATTTTCAACCAAAGAAGAACAGCAACAGCTTCTCCAGAAAGTCCTGCAAGCATCTGACCTGGATGCTGAGGAGGAAGTAGTTGCTGGAGAGTATGGTTCAAAGTCAGCTCAGGTAATGAATTCTCTGAAAAGGATGTCCACAGATGGGACAGAACTGGACCATTTAATTTCCATCCAGTTCTGTGTGTAATGCTGTCATTAGACAGCTGTATTAGACAGCATTAGACTTGTTATCTTTTATGAAACATTAGAGAACAGATTTATTTTTTAAGCTGTATTAGCTTTTAGCTATTGGAATAATTCACTTTTTGAGTACTAGGAAGAAATTTGATATGGAATTAATGTCCTCCCATCATATTTGAAGGAGATGATGACACATCTATTGTTACAGATCTTCACGTGTATCTCCTAAGTCACATGCAATGAAAATATTTTTAAAAACTTTAGGATACAAATATGTCACAGCATATACTTTTTTTTGTGTGGCACTATGCTCCTTGAATCATGCCCTCATTTCCTCATACCCAGAGTGCAGAAACATAAGGGCCACTTTTGTTCAATAGAAGAACTTGTAAGGGTTTTTGGCATTAGGGTCACTCAATGGGCAGTGCTGCCCAGTAGCCAGTGGGTGTCAGTAGGTTAGAGCTGGTCTGTGATCACACACTAAGAACGTGCCAATTCTCCTTGTACCTGCAGGTGTCCCGTCGAACAGGCACAATGAGCTCGATGTCTGGAGCAGATGACACTGTTTACATGGAATACCATTCCTCACGGAGTAAGGCATCTACAAATAAACACATCCACCCGCTGTTCAAACGCTTCCGAAAGTGATGCCCTCCACGTGTGCATTTTGTTAAAACTGTGGTTCCGTATACCTGCTTCCTTAACTGAAAAGATGGAATTGAAATTTCTGACAGGTCCTTTAAAAGAATTTTTTTATATGACTGTATAGCCACATATTTACTTAGCAAAATTATGTGCTCACATGGATGAATGTGAAAGGAAAGAAGGAACTAAATCTTACCACAGGAATACTATCCAGTGATTGGATCCTGGTTATACCTGTCTGGTTTTCAGGGTAATTAATAGATTTTATTTTTATCAGCTGAAGACTCTTTTTCAGAAGAATTCTGAAAAGGTTTTGTAAATGAAGTTTGTACTGATGTTTGAAATATTATTTATCTGATTATTGTGTTTGCTCAACAAAATACTGTTTTTTTAAATGCTTAAATAAAAATCATTCATTGAGCTGAACAAATCCTGTAAGGAGCACTTTATGTAATATTTTTAAACTGGGAGCTAATTTATACTTGCGACTTAAACTGTCTTAAAATTCTAACAAATTGGTCAGAAATATTTTGAAGTTTGAGGACAAGAAAGAGAGAGACTCTTTCCAAAGTAAACTTAAGGAAAGCATTAGTAAATACAAATAAAGTCTATGCTCTGTTTTCCTCATTTTCTTCTTACTGTTGAGAAGTTGCTAAAATAAAAGCTGTTTCCCTTGTCATTTATATTCTATTTATTAACCATGCAATAAAACCATCGTAACTGCTCAACAGTGTAGTGTCACCACAGAAGTTATTACTGAATCAAAAAGCATTTTGACTTCTAACAAGGTGAGTTGGAAGAATGCATGAAGGAAAGATTACTGAGTTTGCGGTTTTTTTAATGAAGACTGCAGTATAATTCTAGAAAATTAGAGGAGAAATGGTGGTGGTTTGTGGCAGAAGAATGTTTTTAAATAACATCTGCTTAATGCTGTAACAGTTACACTACTTGGTGCTGTATTATGAGGTGGAGGGTTTTTGCTGGTAGAGCTTTAGGAACAACCTATGAAAGAAGGTTGATCTTGATGTGTTGGTTCAAACTGGGTTAGTATAAATATTTACCATACTGGAAGGAGCATGTATGGTACGGCTATCCTGGTTACTTGACAAATATTCTTCAGAAAAACACCAGTTCTGTTTCTTATTAGCATGAATTCACAAATTGAGAGTGTGGAAATACGGGAAGCAGAATTCAGAAGAGCTGGTGCTTGTTTTCAGTCTGAGAATCAGGTAGTTTTGAAAAGGGAACTGAATTGCTTCAGTTTAAACTCTGGGCTCAGAGCCCCTACCTTGTAACACATGGTTCTTTCTCTTGTGCTGAGTCTTCTGCCTCACAAACTGGAACCAGCCAGTGCTTGAGTGGCTTATAAGGAAGAGATGAATGTGCAGTATTGTGGTGCTGATTTCCTCTCCCCAGTTTAAAGCGTTATTTAGTCCTGATAGTAGTTTGGACCAGCTGAGGTGGCATCAGTTAGTAGCAAAATGATAATTTAGTACAATGGGAGGGACCTGTGACAGTGAGATAGCTGAGCAAGTCAGCCAGTGTCCCTCTGCATAATTCTTTCTTAACATGCTTTATGAATTGCTTTGGAACTATTCTGCACCCTTCATACACTTGGAAAAAAACCTACTAAATGTGGAAATGGTTTACTATTGATTTCTGTAATTGTGGTACTAATAGTAGCTGGATTTAGGACAGCGCTCTAGTTCATGTGTAGTAAATCATGGCCATGATGACTAATGATCTTACTCTTCTAAGTAATGGGTCTGTGTGGGATGCAGTACATGCACCATCAAGTAAAGCACAGTAATTTTACAAGGTATGAATGACTCCATGCATCAGTGATAGCATCTTGGTGTTCAAACTGTAGAAATAATTACTTTGATATGATTAACTACAGTAATTACCGCCTGCTGTTACTCCAGACTGAAGCTGCAAGTGGCAGACTGGTGTGCATTTACTCACTGCAGATGAGTCGCTGCTGCACAAGGTAGCACCTGTACCAGAAGCTTGTGCTTATGTGCTCTTCATCCTTGTGGCAAACCAAGAGTGTCTGTATGAAGGCATAAAAGCTTGAAGGGTGATGCTGCTACTCATCAAAATGACCTTCTAGACTAAAAGGGCACAGTGACCACGGGGTGGCGTTTCAGCAGCGTTACAGCTCAGCAAAGACTGAACTACACCCAGATGGTGTTTCTCTGGCTCCTTACACCTCCTGATGGTCATCATTTTTAGTAGTGCCATACTTTTTTCTAGTGTGTTTAAAAACATGGGACTTCAAGGCAAGTTCTCAGGATAACTGTAGTGTCGTACACCGTAAGAATCACAGGGCAAGGATCTAAACCTATGAGAAGTCTACAAGTAGAGCTGAATTCTTTACAGTTGGTTCACGGGGTTTTTGTTAAGTGCTATCAACACCAGGCACTGTTAGCTTTTTCTGATTTAAGTATCTTCATATTCAGTTAGTATTTTGCATGTTAAGTTCAAATTTTTTCCCCTTTCAGGAAAATGCATGGGAATTTTAGAATGCATTTAAAATTCCGAAGGAGTAACTTCACAACTTGAAAAGATCTTTCAGAAGATGGGTTTTGAGGACAGTCAGAAATGGCAAAAATCGTGATTAACTATGGCTTTTTTAGTGAAGAGATGTTTTAAACTAAACTGAAAATTTTTGCTTACATTTCTTCAGCTTTTCTTCCTTACAAATGTTCTGAAGAGCCTGTCTCTGTAGTCTTAGCTGAGGGTGTTACTTGGGCAAAGTTAAATGCCTCTGATCAACTCTCTTTTACTTCCATAAATTTTATTTGTAGATGATTTATACTTCTAGCTATTTAAACAGTTACATAAAACAGTACAATATTTATTATACTGGATATCATAAAATGATGTTCAAATAATTACAAACCAGATATAGCCAAGAGAATAATTCTAAAATAATAATTCTAAAAAAAAACAGAATTCCTGGTAAGATGATAATGTAGCCATTGACTCTGAATACTGGTGTTATTGACACAAAGACGTTC